CCCCCCCCCCCAGATTCGTCATTTTATATCCTACTAATGATGCATCGTTTGCTTTTTTATCGAAAAATGTACGATTTGCAGTTTTGCACGTGTTCGATGAAATCATTGCGAGACACGTATGTTCTTGAAAACGATATCATGCCATTGACTTTCGGTGATTTGATCTGTATAATTGCAGCAGCCATACATCGGCGCTATTTGCAAAATTTGCAGTTCTGCACGTGTTTGATGAAATCATCGCGAGACATGTCGCGACATATTCTTAAAAAAAAAAAAAAACAATATCGCTCCATTGACTTATGCGAAATTGCAAAATTTGCAGTGTATGCACACCGTGCACTAAAACAGAAGAACGCGATGCTCTAGTTGGAACGAGAGAAAAAAAGGCAATAGAAAAAGTATATAAGAAAGAATGAAGCGAGTCAAAATCACAGTCTGTGATTTGACAGTCTACGCGTCGGTACATCGATTGGAAAAAAATATAGCGGTTATTTTACATTTTTTGTGCCGAGTATTCAATACAGAGGAATACTTTTCACGATAAAGGAGATGACAATAATTTCGATATGGATGTAGACGAGAATCGCGCGTTAACGGATGACAGTGATTATTTCAGCGATGAAGAAGATGGTCGTAAAGAAGTCATTGAAAGAATAGTGTCGCGTGAGGAAATCGTTGCACTAAATTTACATACAAAAGAGTGCGTACTATTTTTTTATTATTCAACGGATGGTGCACTTGCACTATGTCGTTCATGCATAAGAGCTGTATCGGGCTTCGTCGGATGAGACTCTGACCCTGTCGGCGGTCGCGCGACTCGTCCTGCCATGGCGCAAGCGAAGCTCGACGTGCCGGAGAAATCTGGCGGCGGCATTAAAAAGAAGGATAAGGATTCCGAGGGAAAAGAAGGTCCCACTGTTGTGCCAGAATGCGCAGTATGCCTGCAGCCATGTATCCATCCAGCACGATTACCTTGCAGCCATATATACTGCTATCTGTGCGTAAAAGGTGTCGCTAATCAGAGCAAGCGGTGTCCGATGTGTCGTCAAGAGATCCCACCGGATTTTCTCGAGAGACCTCAGCTGGTGGAAGTGGAGGAGCCTCAGAAGGAATCGGAACATCCTGAGGAAGAGTACCAATGGTTTTACAAAGGTCGAAATGGTTGGTGGAAATATGATCCGAGGACAAGCAATGATCTGGAGACTATTTACAAACTAGGTGACGCGCAATGCGAACTTTTGATCTGTGGCATGCTTTACGTATTTGACTTTGAAAAGAAATGTCAATATAGAAAATACAACCCACGTTACAAACGTAATATCAAACGTGATAGAAAAGATGCTCCGTGCAAGGGTGTCTCGGGTGTACAATAACATTTGTAAAATGGATTATTTGTCCGTTAAGATTGAAGATTCCAATTCCAATTCCAAATCCATATTTAACAACATACTCAACTATATTCAATGGTTTCATACAGCATTATACAAATACTTGATATCGGGTATATACATGCATGCACAATCACGTTCGACATTATACAAATACTTGATATCGGGTATATACATGCATGCACAATCACGTTCAACATTGCACACGATATTGTTCAGCGTGTGATCGAGTCACGTGCAAGTGCTCCTTCGAAGATTGTGGCGTGATTTAAAAATAGTGTGTGAAAAAAGACAGTATAAAAAACATGGAACATCTCAATGAAACGGAACGCGACCTGGTGGAAGGATCCAACCAAATCGCTACCTTGGGCGAATATTAGCGCGCAGTCGAGAGTTCGATACGGTTCGAGTACGTTGCAATAAACAGCCTCCAGATACGATGAACACTCACGGTGCGAACTACTACGTTCCGATTCAGGACGAAACGTGTGAGAAACAGCACAATGAGTAAGTACCGCTAATTTTCGTACATACTTGTGCAAAAAAACCTTTATAAACATAATTGTATTTTTTTCAGTTTTGATAAACCCCGCTACACGCCTCGTATTTTGGGAAAGAGATTTGCCTTGACATCGACCGCAAAAATATAAATTTTTGGATGTTGGAATCAACGCTGGACCTATGTCCTCTGTGGATATACTTATTGGCGATAACCGAGGCAATCGGATAATTCTGCCTCATGCAACGTGGGTGACATTCATCGAAAAACGTGCAGGTATTCAGTGACTCGTGCAGTCGCCGGCACCATCATCGCTAGCGTTTCGAGATTTGGAACTCGTTAAAATACGCGACGCAGATATTGTAAAATTGACATCGTGCGACACCAGCTTGTACATGAAACCGTCAACCGTACTCTTCCTGTTCGAACTAGAACATTGCGTTGAAAATGTGTATTTTCAACTATGTCAAAATGTTCATGGCGTAAGTGAAAAATTCAAACAGTTTGTAACAATTTTACGCCAAAATTGGATCATCGATAAATGTAATGCAGTTAAAATCTTGCGTGAAGTTTATGATAAAAATTTGATTATTGATTGCGAATTATTAGCCTACGCTTTAGATACTATTGTGTATATTGCGCTACATAAGAAATAAATAGGTATATAATATGGTTAAAAAAATTTCCTTTTCATTTACCGTTCCTTGTCGTTAAGCTGTTTTCGTTTATCGTTTACTTAAATGTAATATTAAAATTAAATATCGCGAAGATCTAAACGATTAAATATCGTTGGCGAAGAAAAGATACGCGATCGTGAGCGAAAACGCGCGAACGGGGGAGAGAGACCGCGCGAACGGGGGGGCTGGGAGCGAGAGACCGCGCGCGAAGGAGAGATAACGCGAGCGGGAGCGTATGACGTCACGTGGACCCCGCGGCGCGGCGAAAACGCGAACGCGGTCGCCCCTCCCCCGCGGCGCGGCGCCTGAAAACGCGAATGTAATTGTCCCTCACCCAGCGCATTACAAAATGTATTAAAAATATTTAACTGGTGGTCGCGACACCAGAAAAAATTATTATTTTTGAAATAAACTATATATGTATATATAAACGTTTTATTTCCTTTTCCTACATACTTTGTAGTATAATATAGATGTTTTAGCTGTTTAAGAGCTGTTTTTAGTTGTTTAAAAGAAGTTTGATAGCGGTTCAATAGCA